GCCAGGAAACAAAGCTTAGCAGGAGAAGAGAGCCAGAGAAGTGACAGGGAAGCTACAGGTTACAACAGATTTGTGAACTCAGCCATCCACAGTGGTGGCAGGGCCTAGCTGCTACAAAGAAGACATGTTAAATAACGGAGGGTGGAGTGGGTGAAGGGAGGGCAAGGGTGTGGAGAAAAAATGAGAACCAAGATCTGTCATGTAAAGGTGCAAGATCCCAATGCTGAATGTAACTGTACTGTATACTTAAAAAATATAAAAAAAAAAAAAAAAAAAAAAAAAAAAAAAAAAAGACGTGTTTTAGACAATACTTGTGTATGGGCAAAAAACTCGAGGACTATGTTTGTGACTAATTGCATAACAGGTTATTTTAGTTTCTGTACTATGGAAAGTGTAAAGCAATCTATCAAAGGGTTTTAATAAAGACTTTTTTGCACCCATGCTGTTGATTGCTAAATGTAATAGTCTGATCATGACACTAAATAAATGTCTTTTTAAAAAATAAATAAATAAAGATTCTTCTTGGGCTGGGAATTTAGCTAAGTGGTTCTGCCACCTGCCTCACAAGCACAAGGACCCGAGTTCGATCCCCAGTACCAAAAAAAAAATTCTCTTTGAAGGCCAGGTGTGCTAGTGCACACCTGTAACCCCAGCACTTGGAAGGCTGAGGCAGAGGACTGCCATGAGTTCAAGGTCAGCCTGGGCTATATGGTGAGTTTAAGGCCACTCTGAACTACTACCAAGCAAGATCCTGTCTCAAAAAAAAAAAAAAAAAAAAAATTCTCCTTCAGGGGTGGTAAGGCTCTTTGTAGAGGACTTGCCTAGATTGCATAAGAACCTGAGTTTGATCACCAGCACCATTAATTTTGTCTTTGGATTTTCAATAGTTTGATTATAATGTTTAATGGTGCAGGTCTTTCTTGGTCAACCCTACATGGATTTCATTGATCTTCTTTGATTTATAGTTTCCTGGCTTTTCTCAATTCAGGGTAGGTTTTGGTCTTTCTTTGAGTAGTTTTCTGTCCTTTTATTCCCTCCTGCCACTTCCCTAATGCCTAGTAGGTCCTTCTTACACTGTCCCAGAGTTCTTTTGGATCTGTTCACTTTTCATTCTTTTAAAAAATCTGTTCGCTCCTCAAGCAAGGTTATTCCACACATATTATTTTCAAGTTTGCTGATTCTCTCTTCTGCCTCTTAAGAATCATCAGTTGAATCTTTCTACTGAATTTTTCCATTTAGTTATTGTATTTTTTAGCTCCAGAATTTGTTTGGATCCTTTTCATAATTTCTCTTTATTCTCATTTTATTCATGCATAACATCCCCAACTTTCCTTAGTTCTTTGTCCATGTTTTCCTTTAGCTCTCTGAGCATTTTTCAGATACTTGTTTCAAAACTTTTGTCTAGCTGGGCATAGTGGTGCATGTCTGTAATTCTAGCATTCTGGGAAGCTGAGGCAGGAGGATTGTAAATGTGAGTCCCACCTGAGCAACTTAGAAACTTAGTGAGACCATGTCTCAAAAATTAAGAAAAAGCGCGGGAGGCTGGTGATGTAGCTCAGCATGAAGGCCCTGGGTTCATTCCCCAGTACCACCAAAATAAATAATTAGTCTATTAAATGTCTTTAGGTAGTTTCTAACATTTCAGCTTCTTCTTCTGAATAGGCTCTATTAAAAAATAAATAAAGATTCTCCTTGGACTGGGGATTTAGCTCAGTGGTTCTGCCACCTGCCTCGCAAGCACAAGGACCCGAGTTCGATCCCCGGTACCAAAAAAAAATTCTCTTTGAAGGCCAGGTGTGCTAGTGCACACCTGTAACCCCAGTGGTGTTATCAGGCAACTGCCCATAAGAGCTTCTTTGCAAAGCTTTTCTTTTGGGGGGGTGAAAAACCAGCCCTTCCCAGCCTTTATACACCAGGTCTGTGCCACAGATGTCCCTCACTAATGAGCAAGCCATATTTTAAGGCTGGAGAAAGCTAATTCTTCTCATATCTTTGCAGAGCATGCAGCTCACTTGGAGCTGTGGAGCTTTTTCATCTCCCTCTCCACATGGCTTTTGTATGTCTTGATTTCCTAGATTCACCCCACCTTCTCCTCAGGGCCTACAGGGTCTATTTTTTCCAACTGTTACAGTTTAGATCTAGAATGTCTCCCAAAAGCCTCACATGTTCAGGGTTGGGAATGTGGGAAGTTGACTGGATCGTGAGTTTACAGCTGAATGTGCTGGTAGGAGGTGGGTGTAGTTGGAAGGAGGTCACTGGGTGTGACCTGGAAGGGTGCATCTCCCTCTGTAGTTCCTCCTGGCTCTGCTTCCTGGCCACCATGAAGTGAGCAGCTTTCCTCCTCCGGGCCCTTCCACCTGCCTTTGCTGCCTTGGAGCTGGCTGACCGTGGACTGAATCATCTACAAATCTGAGTTAAAATGAATGTCTCTTCCTTCCATTGTAGGTGTTGGGCACTGTGTTTCAGTGACAGGAAAGTGACGTAGACATCACCTACGTCATCTTGTTCCTGCATCTGCAGGTCCTCATCTCCTGTAGCTTTATGAGCAGTGCCTGCCGCTTCCCAATGCTATATCTTTCCAGAGCTCCAATCAGACAAAGTAGAAACCAGTTCTTTTTTTTTTTTTTGAGACAGGGTCTCACTACGTAGTTGAGACTGACCTGGAACTCACTATGTAGCCCAGGCTGGTCTTGAACTCATAGGAATCCTTCTGCCTCAGCCTCCCGAGTGCTGGGATTACAGGCGTGCACCACCACGCCCGGCCAGAAACCAGTTCTTTAGGTGGTGTTATCAGGCAGCTGCCCATAAGAAAAATCCAATTTAAAGGAGGAAAGATTTATTCATGGTTTCAAGTGTGTCTGTGGCCACTTGTCTCTGCTGCTCCTGGGCCTGTGGAGAGGCAGAAATGCAGCAGAAGGGGATGGCAGAGGGAAGCTACTCACCCACAGCAGCCAGGAAGCAGGACAGAGCCAGAGGCGAGGGGGGCGCGGAGAAGATATAAACAGTCCCAGAACCATGACTGGGCCCTGCCTCCAGCTTCCATCACCTCCCTGTAATGCCACGGATTATGCATCCACTGTGAGGTGAGAGCTCACAATCCAGTCACCTTCCAAGAGCCTACTGCTGGCAGTCAAGCCCCATGAGCCATATTTGGATCCAGCCAGCAGACAGGTCAAACATCGCAAATACCGCATTCTGCTCGCCCCCAGTTTGAGGGAGACTGAGAAGCTGTGCGGTTACCTTCTCCAGAGCAAGAAGGCACCGTGTTTGGGGAGCAAGAGTGAGTAAAACTGCTGCAAATTTTCCTACTGCTTTCAATATGGCTTTTTCTTTCCATTTTTTGTGGTACTGGAGATTGAACCCAGGTCCTCATGCATGCTAGGCCAGCACTCTTACCACACAGCTACATCCCCAGCCCTTTTTGTTAAGGAGACTGTTGCCCAGCCAGGCATGGAACTTGCTATCCTCCTGACTCCACCTCCTGAGTAGCTGCGATCACAGGTGTACACCACTGTGTTTGGTAATTGTGGCTTTTTCTTGACTGGCCATTTGCTGGCTTCCTGTAGAACTCTGTTTGTCCTGCAGGAAAGCAGACCACACTGACTGTGGGGAAGACTACTAGTGGATAAGGAACCTTCTGGCCATGAGTGGTGGCACATGCCCATAATCCCAGCACTCAGAAGGCTGAGGAAGGAAGATCACTGTGAATTCAAGGCCAGCTAGGGTACGTGGCAAGACCATGTCTCAAGAAAAACAACAACAACAAAAGAAACACTCACTTCCTGACTCCAGAACTTTTTACTAAGGGCCAGCAACTGCAGCCTCTGCCTGAGCTCTGAAGTTTTGCTGGAACAGTCCCACTCATCTGTTTATGTCCTGTCACTGCAACAGATGTTCTGTGGTCTGCAAAGGCTGAAACATGGACCATCTGGCCATTTCCATGAAGTGTTGCTGACTCCTTATCTAAACAAAACTGTGAGGGCTGAAGGGGCTCGGGAGGCTGCTCCTCCTCAGTCATAACACTGAATAATGGCCAAGGTGACAGTGACAGACAGTTCCTCGAGGACAGAGTACCAAGGTAAAAACTGAAAAGGTTCCAATGTATGGTGTCAGGATAACTGGACACCCACAGGCAAAAGAATGAAGTTGAACTCAAACAATTGATAAAAATTAACCCTTAGCTAGGCATGGTGGGGCAGACCTGTAACCCTGGCTGCTAGGGAGAATGAGGCAGGACGATCCCTAGAAGTTCCAGAACAACCTGTAATACACAGTGAGACCCTGTCTCAACAAAAACAAGTAACAACAACAACAAATTCAATAAATAAGGAAAAACAACTGAAGGAGGAAGGAGTCATTTCTACAAAGGGCACTGGAACAACTGGGCACCCATATGCATTAAAAAAAAGGGGGGCCAGGGATTTAGCTGTGGTTCTGCCACATGCCTTGCAAGTGCAAGCTCAAGGTCCCGAGTTTGGTCCCAGTACCAAAAAAAATTACAAAAAGAGTATCCAGACACAGGCCTTACACCTTTCTGGAACCAGGGATCAAGCTCAGGACCTTGCACTTGCAAGGCAGGTACCGTACCACTAAGCTAAATCCCCAGCCCTTGTTTTCTTTTTAAAGAATAAAAGTCACATGTGGTCAAGACTTCAAACTGTTTAGGATAGGAAATGAAAACTGAGCTCCCAGGTTACTCTGCTCTCATCCTCTCATCACCTATGACCCTGATTCAGTTTCTTACGTAAAATAGGAGTTCTCTTTCTGAAACATTTATTATGAATGTGATCCAAATATTACATACAATATATGTTTCTTGTAAAGGTTAAGTCTTCCAGGGCCTGGTTTAGTAAAATACTGAGGCTAAATTCAGGTCCCAGATATAAAACAAAAATTTCAAAAGAATTTAGAATAGCCAACTTTTTTTAAAAAAATCATACATTTTAGCTTTTTAAGTCAGATGTCATTTTATTTCTCAGTCTATGACAATGCAAACTGTCTTCCAAAAAAGGCAAAGTTTGGCAACATCTGGAAACAATGTATCACTAACTAGTGTAAGCCTTAAATCCATCAAGGGAAACCATCTAACACATTTCTAATAAGGTTAAAAGAGAAATGGCGACAGGTACAATACATCAACAGCTCTGAGCAGATCCCCAGACTCCAGAGAGATTTAACCCTAAACCTGTGGCTCTCAGCACTGCCTGTAAAGACTTCAGCTACTCTGTGCACGACAGTAAATCATCAACTGCTGGGGGTGAGCAGGTTTACAAAGGGGCAGGAAGTAACTCACGTTATAGCACTGAAAACATGTGATCTTAGACAACATGAGTACAACTGGAAGATTAATGTTCACGGGCACTTCGTCCCCAAATAAGGAATGGTGAAGGAGGAGATGGGCAACCACGTGCCTTCGAACACTAAACTTTTCAAAGCCTGAATATGAAAAGCTCTTCACGTGGTAGTTATTATTTTAAATTAAAAAAAGGATGCAACCTTGTAATAGCAAATTCAAATTCTTATTAGTTGGTCCAGGTTTTCCTGCTCTGTTCATGAAAGAACTGCCTACTGGTGTTCCCTTTAAAGGCGGGAATGATTTTGGCTTGCTGGTCTCTCACTGGCCCCCTGGTGGCTGCCAGCACAGGACAGGAAACAGGTGGTCAGAAAGACCCCGAGTCTGTGCCCATCAACAACCCCTCACAGAAGGCCGGCCAGGCCCAGGCTTTCCTCCTCTATTTTCCCATCTCCACTGCCAAGGAAATTCCCTCAGGTGAGAGCTCCGTGGCTCACCCTAACCACCACAACTGTTCAGGGCTCTGGGTTCTCTTAGTGCAGCTCCCACCAACAGCCTGAGGAAAGCAGATGAACTTGATCACCACGCAGCTCAGCAGAGGCCACACAGGCCTCCCACAAGCGGTAAAGGCCAGTCTCTCTTCTTCCTCTGGCTCTCGCCAGATAACCACACCTGACTTCATGTCTCTTCTCCCCAAGGCCCAAACATCCATTCACTGTATTTCTGTGATTTCCCCAACTAACCAGGAAAACGGGCCTGTTGGGATGGAAGGAAGGGGCAGCCAGCCCGGTGCTCCTCTAGGCTGGGCCTTCTTCCTCCATCACCACGTTGCTGCTGGCATTCGTCTCCTGCTCCACCTCCAGCTCAGCAGGCAGGATGCTGGCGACAGTGTGAAGAAGCTCTTCGATCTGCTCCTCCTCGGTGAACCGCTCTTCTGTCTCCTCCACCATCTGCACAGGAGAGAAGACACTGCTGTTGGGAGACCTGAGCTTCCCGGCCTGCGGCCCAATACAGCCGCCCAGGCGGAGGGTGGCACCTGGGTCCCCAGGTCTTCTCTACCCCGGTTCCACAGCTGGGCGAAGCCAGCGTGCTTAGCCCATGCAAATGCTGAAAATGGGCACAAGGAAAAAGAACACCCTGGCTGTCCTGTCGCCATCCGCATCCACACCGAGAAGGGGATACTGTACATACAAAGTCACCTCCGGGGGTGAAGTGACACACCCTACACTTTCCATCTTAGAGCAAACACATCACGCCGAAGCGAACTCTGTGATTGGAATCCCAAGCCCGGCTGTCCAAATCTAAAGCCATCACTGAACACATTCTCTGCTCTGTGTGGTCTGCCTCTAACTGTACCCAGGGCCAAGTGCCTGTGGCACTATGCGAGCCGGGTCAGCCCCTCGAGGGGGAACTTATAAGTCAGTGCTTGCAAGAGCGTGCGCGTGGGACTGGGGCACGGCTCCTCAAGACTGCGCATGCTCCGAGTCAACTCTACCTGTGGACACAGAAATGTACAAGGTTGACCTAGGAGGGCCGCCCACAGAGTCAAATGTTGAAGCGTGCGAAGATATGTCTGCGCGCTAGAGACCCGAAGGATCCAGCCAGGTGAGGGCCTGGAGCCCACACCCCGGACAAGTCCACATAAGGAGCCAAAGGATCGAGATGGAAGACAGAGGGCTGCGTGGGAGGCTGAACAGTCGCCCTAAAAGCTAGAGAGTTTGCGCCGGCAGAAGGCTGGTGCTGGGGGCTGAAGAATGTGCGCCGAAGCCAGGGGACAACGCCCAAGGGGAAGGCAGAGAACGTAACTCCACCAAAGAGAACAGCTGAAGCTCCTCCGAGAAGATCAGCTGAAACCCTTCTCCTTCAGTTGTTTCGACAACAGTTCCCCTTAGAGGGGTCTTCCGTGACTCCCTTCAGCTGGGCGTCCCACTCAAGGTGACCATAACCAGTGACCCACCACAGTGGGGCTGGAGAAGGTGAGCGCAGTGGGGTGTCCCTTAGAGGGGACACCGGGACCCTGGCCCCACTTCTGCTTCCCAGCTGCCATGAGGTGTGCAGCCTGCCCTGTGCTGTATGCTTCCACCCGGATGAGCGGCCACAGGTCAGGCAACAGGCACAGGCAACCATGGACTGAAACTGAGCCAAAATGAATCCTTCCTCCTCACAAAGTGAGTATCTTAGGTGTTCTGTCCCACAGCGGAGAGCTGACCAGGATGCTCCATGTGGCCTTGGTCACCTCCTGAGGGTGCAGAACACTGCCTAGCACAGGCCCTCCTAAGTGTTTCCTGACATGGTCCAGAAGACACCCACAGGCAAGAACCAGCTTTCTCAGCCTTCCAATTCTGAACACAGCATAGCCAATCGCCCTTTGAAAGCCATATTTTTACTTAAACTTGTTCACATTACCCAAGCAATCTCAAATCTGGCAATTGGTACCAGAAGGAATTCCAGACGTAAAATCCTGGGACATTTAAATAAAGCAAGGATAGATGGGCATGGTGGTGCATGTCTATCCCAGCACTACTTGGGAGGCTGAGGCAGGAGGACCACTGCAAGTTTGAGGCTAGCCTCGGCTACACATTGAGTTCAAGACCAGCCTAAACTACATAGTGAGATCCTGTCTCAAAAAATAAATAAATAAATAAAAATAAGGCAAGGTAGAGGCCAGGCTTAAGATATTGGAAAGCACCTCAGTGGACAGACTCATTTTATAGATGATGGTACAGAAATTACAAGACCTGTCTAAGGCACACCACCAAATCGTGGGAAAATACTGCTCCTTCATCCAACCCAGCCACAAACCATTTCCACAACCAGAGAAATCTTCAGTATCCTACACAGAGATGCCCTAAGTAAACCAAGGAGTAATACTTCCCATCATGCTGTCTAACACAATAGCCACTTTCTACAGAGTCAATGGCTTAGTAAAATGTAACTTCTTTATTGATCAGGAAACAACATTCATAAAATGTTTTTAAAATCAAATGTGCAAAATCAGGGCCTGCAAAGCAGTAATCTCATACAAACTGCCCCTAAAGAATGAAGGAAGTACAAGGGAAATATCCAATTTCATTCTTTGATCTAAAAAAACCAGAATGTTGCCAAGTTTCTGAATAAGCGGTGTAAACAGCTAACAGACCATACTGGTGCAGAGCGCCAGTTTATCTGTGCGCTTTGGTAGGCAGTGCCGGGGGTGGAACCAGGGCCCCGCACATGCTCGGCAAGTGCTGTACCACTGAGCCACAGCCCAGCCTGAGTGCCCCACAGCACATGAGGCCTAACCAGGTTCCCTGCCCCTAGAGCTTCTCTATCTCCACACGCAGCGTCAGGACAGTGACGGAATAGGCAGAGGCTCGGTGTTGGGGCTCAGCAAACAGAGCCAGCGTCTTTGAACCGAATGCTAGCTCCTGCTGGACAGCAGACCCTATTGCTTCCACCTATCACACATGAGACAGCTGTCTTCCAGGCAGAGGCCGCTTCCTGCCTTGGGAACACACTGTGATTGGGCATCAGCCACAAGCATTCTCAGCAAAGGGGCAGCAGCTCTCTAATTTGGACCAATTTGGTTAACAGCTTTAGCAGCACCCAGTCCCAAGGACTAAGTATAGTCAGGAACTCGTTCTTCCTCTAAGATTCCCAGTAACAGGAAGAAAACCTACGCTGCCTGAGGCTAAATTAAATATACATACAAGAACAAAAAAATGTGAAAAAGTATACATAAAAGGGAAACTTTCAGAAATCAAAAACTTTCTGAGCCTCTTGGATTCACAGATAAAAGCCAACTATGTCATTCTGCACCCTTCCTTCCCCACGTAGGAGTAAGCCACATTCAGAGCCCACCTTGACGTCCTCAGACACCGAAGGCTGTTTATGTTGTCCAGAACGCTAAGGCAAGTGTCATGACAAGTGTGCCCCATGTATGAACACTGCACTGACCTAGGCTGTCAGCTGGATTGCTGAATACCCGCATTCTGACTGCTGCACTAATGCACTGCTCTCCTCAGCAGGACACAGGCTCTATCTAATGCAGGCCCAGTAGCCCTGTTCACAAATCTGATATACTCCAAACTCCAAGCCTTTAAAAAAAATGTAATACAGTAGTGGTTTGATCCATGCCTCACATATACCAGGAAAACACTCTGTCACTGACCTACATCCCTAGTTGTTTTTTTTTTTGGTACCAGAGATCAAATACAGGACCTTGTGCTTAAGACAGGTATGGTGCCACTGAACTAAATCCCTGACTCCCAGCTCTTTTTATTTTCTCTTGGGATAGGATCTCACTAAACTGCCTAGTCTGGCCTCAAATTTGCAACCCTCCTGCTTCAGCCTCCTGAGTAGCTGAGATCAAGGTGTACACCTCTGCTCAGATCTGAAACTTTGCAAGCATGACATGACACCTCAAGTGAGAGATTCTACCGATCTCATGACCAGTCCAAGTCAAAATGCAGGCACTGTATGAAAGTACTTCGGTCTATATGAATAAGGTAAACATTAAACAGAAAGGAATTTTGTGTTAAGACTTGAGTCCCATCCCAAAGATAGCCCATTATATATACAGATGTTTCTTTAAAAATCTAAATCCTTGTGGTCCCAAGCATCTTGAATAAGGGATACTCAGCCATAGTACCAGCAATCCCATCCAGCTATGGATGTTCACTTTACCTCTCTTCTGGGCACATTGGGGCCTGAACCCAGGACCTTCCCACTGAGCTATCTTCAGCCCTTTTTTATTTTGAGACAGACTCTTGCCAAGTTGCTAAGTTGCCCAGGCTGGGCATGAATGTGTGCTCCTCCTGCCTCAGCCTCCCAGAGTCGTGACTGAGATTACAGGTGCAGGTGGTGACTTTACCTCATCTCTCTGAACATCAGCTTTCTCTAAATGAAATGAAAGCAAAGCCTACTGTGGGCACCAAGTAAGAACACGGGTTGGTGTTCTGTAAGCCAGAGGCTTCAACAGTGCATAGTCACTAAGTTACTAACAGGCCTTGATGGCAGTGCTGCTCAGGACAGTAGCTATGGGTCACAGGGCTCACTGCCTTGGCTTCAGGCCCGAGAGCTCAGATATCCTTCCACACGAACCCACCCCAGGATGTGGGGGGTCACACAGCCACCACTATTCCTTAAGGCCCTGAGTCAGCAGCAGGGACAGAAGATCACAGCAAACCATGGCAGAGGCTTAGTGAACGGAGAACACGAACCCTCAGCCTCCAAAAGATGCACACAACTCCTGACTGGACACTAACAAAGGTGACACAGGGCTGCTTTTGTGGATAAGGGAGCACACAGGGAAGTTCTCAGGTCATCTGCACTCTCCCACTGTGGGAAGCCATTTCTTATCCCTCCCTAGTGGGAAGACACTGTTCCGAGCCCTGGGAAATGGTCTGCCACCTTTTGTAGCCAAATCCCAGGGAGGAGGATCTGGATGTGAAATGGTGCAACTACTAGGAAGTGAGTTTTTATGAAGGTCGTCTGCTGGGTGCTACCCTTACCTCTCTTCCTGCCAGGTGTGCCGGTGAAGCTCAGCATCACCCTACCTGGACTAGGGACACTAGAGTGCTGAGGAGTGAGTGCTACTTTTGGGTGGGCTTCCAGGGGCAAATCCGCTCTCAGTGTGGTGGCAAAATCCAGCTGGCTAAGGTCACAGCACGATGCCCACCAGCCCGGGGCAGGGTTAGACACACCCCACCTCTCCGCAGACGCCAGCACTCCAGGCACTCTGCCCTCTGAGCTCCCTGAATCCCAGGGTCCGGCCTCAGCATCTCTGGACCTAGACTGAGCTGTGCTGCTGGTAGTCCTGGGTCCAGCTCTGCGGGGCTCAGCTTCCACCATCTCAGAAGCTGCTCCCTGGTAAACCAAGTCAAGCCCTCTGCCTCTCTCAGAACCCTGACTACTGCACCAGGCCAAAGCACACGGCAGGAGGAGAGGAAAGGCTCTGAGAAGACCCTAAGCAGCCACTCAGCTACACTGGAAAATACGCGTCCCTATAATGGATGCCAGGGTGAGGGCGTGAGAAGGACAGCCTGTGGCTCCGAGGACCCCAGAGGCAGCGAATCTTTGCAAGCACTGAGAGCTCTCGGCAGACTCTGTGGTGAGGTCACGCTGCCCTCCCTGTCTCCTCTCTCCATCTGTCCCTCAGTCATGGATAACATATGCTGCTGATTAAAGCTGGAGAAGACACAACATGTGATCTTTAACCAGAGGGAAAGGGACTGGTTTCCTGCTGTTTTGTTTATTTTTCTCTCCTGTAAGTTTAATCTCCAACAGTCTAATGTATGGGAACAATAGGATACAAACAGAGGGACCTCTACTTAGCCGAAAGGCCAGTTCCCCTGGAAAGGCACCCTTTATGGAAGGAGTTTTTCTAATTTAATTTGGCTGTATTCTGAAGGACAGCAACAACGAAGGTAATGAAGGCTTTAGGCAAAATTTAACTATTAGCCTTGAAAAAAAAATTCAGTAAGAAACTAAAGATCATAGGTATTTTTGGCCATTTTCTTCCAGGCTTTTCTAAAGTAAAACTTGACAAAGAGCTGAGTATTTCTGAAACTGACTTTGGAAACTGCTTTCTCAGAGATTTTCAATGGCAGTTAGAAAACCTGCTGTCTGCCTGTGCAGTAGAAGGACCTGCCACAGGGAGCCAACAGAGAGTGGCCACCCCTGTGTCACTGTCGGTCACTGCACACTCTCCTAACTGCACCTGGCCGTACTTCCCACATCTTATGCAGTGACAGCAGCTTGGGCTTCCCAGGGCAGACAGAGGCTGCACCAGGTGGTTTCATGCAGAGGACAGAGGGAGGGAGGGGCAAGTGGCCAGGTGCTGGAGGGACACTTGTCAGCAAGGAGATGGGCAGGGAGGGAAGTGCAAGAGCTGGTTTAGGAAAGGATGAAAACTACTGCCTCACCAGAGGGACAGGAGATGGAGCAAGAGGAGATGGACCTGAACTGCAACAAAGGGAAGGGTGCCAGGTTTCTGGTGTGTAGCCTGAGCAGGAGGTACAGGAGCAAAGCTGTAGGAGAGAAAGCGCATGCGCACTGCTAACCGGAAATGGCTGCAGCAGCCATGTGCCAGCAGGAGAGCACCCACCCGTGCCGCGGGCTTCCTGCCTTGGGAACAACGGGTTGGCAACAGCCCTGCGGGGAGCCAGAGGACACAAAGCTGCCAAGATCCATGGAGACATTCAGCTTCCCGAGGCCCAGGTCAGCAGGCTCAGAGCTGAGGTCTGTGAGACTCGAGTGGACATGGGGCACCTATTCCCGGTCGCAGTTCCGCGGCTCCCCCACTCACCAGTTGGATCTCCACAGCAGTCACCGGCCTGTGGTTCAGCAGCTGCAGCTTTTCAGCTCTGCCAAAGACAAATACAAAGCATTTAAAACTGCAGTCTACAAGGATCTTGGGTCTTGACCAAGCTGAATTAGAAAAACACTTTGTCAGATAAAAAATGGGAGCACCACTGTGACATGGTCCTCAGCTGCTTCAACTGTAAAACAAGGGAAGGGACACAGGACAGTAAACGCCAGAGCCCGACAGTGCCAACAGCTAGAGCCCTATAAAGCAGAGACAGGATGCAGCGAAGGGAAGTGCAGGGCTGGTTTGTTCACTTGATCTTGACAACTTTTTCTTTCTTTTTTTTTTTTTTTTTGGTACCAGGAATCGAACTCAGGACCTTGCACTTTTGAGGCATG